CCCCCCCATTTTTTTCGTGTAAGCTTACATGTATAACATTCTGGAGAGAATTCACACCTAAAAAGCTTCTCACCCTTTTGCTTGAGCGCTTTTCTGATCATATGGCACTTTTATTAAACACACGTTGCTTTTTTTTTACCCTCTCTAACAATTAACCTCTCCCTTCCCCCGCACCAGCTAGAGATCTAGCAAACATTGCTAGGTCTCTGCCCGCACTCATATCAAATGTAAATTTTAATGATAATTAACTCCCTACCGAAAATTCTTTCAGTGTATGAATATGAGGCAGTTGTTTTTAACTTTATGAAAAAGAAGTTTGATTAATCTGGAAACATTTGGGAAGAAGGAGCATATTGTTAAAAGTTGGTAGAAAGTGGGGTTCGAGCAAAAGCCGTTTAAGTTTACTGCATGACTACTACTGGCGTGTAGGCCAACAATTAACGTATCGTCTCTTTTCCACTAAGCCAAGATGTGCTAAATCAGTTCCCAGCTAGATACATCAAATTTAACAACTTTGTTTCATTTTTATTAGAATCTTGATCTCGAAAGTCAATATTATGGATTTTTTAAATCGAAGGTGCATAGGGCTTTCAATAGCCTGCTTACATGGTGCACAAGCTAAGCTTATACCTTTATCATACCACCTAGGAAGAAGCTGCTCAATATCTCACTGCCTACTGACTGTCTGGCACTCCTTAATTTTACTTTATAAGATCTCATGAGTAGCAGACTTCGAAGAGAGACGCATTAAATGCAAAGAACAGTGGAGACGACCACAACATGCATTTCCTGACGAAGGCCTGATCACCCCCCCCCCTCCCGGGATGTGAAGTCAAGGCCATCTTCGCAGCGATAGACAATCATCAGCATCATCAAGTGGATTCATACTACCGATCTGATAATAATCTTGACAATTGACAAGCACTGCGCGAAAGTTTCGGGTTGAATAAAAATATAATGTAGGGTGCACCGAATGCTGTTGCCACATTACTACTCTGTCACTGCAAGTATTCGCAGCTCTCTCTTTTTCTTTTTCTTTCCTTTTTCGGTTAACGTAGAAATCTGCCGTCTCTCCGATTAGGCCAATTACAAAATTTTAGAGTATGCCCCACTATGACCCTTTATGACTTATTGCTTATAGAGATCATTACAGTTGAGGCCTTGGTAATTAAGTCTTTAATTATTACTTAATTGCTTAGGCTATAAAGAATTAGAGTTATGACTCGGTATAATATAGGCAAAGATCTATCCCTTTATTTATGACTTTAACGCTTCTAACCCCCACGCCCCCACCCCCCCAAAAAAAAACAACAACAAAAAACAAAACAAACTAATTAGTATAAGTAGCCTAAGGCTGTTTGCAGTTGGATACTATATATACCTTTGTTTTGACGTCGATTAAATTCCCTCTGTTTTCGAGCCTCATTTCAAAGAGAATAAAAACTATAACAAGCAAGCAAAAACTGACTCATACATGTACAATAAAATCCCCTCGTCCCAGAAAAAACAAAACAAAACAAAACATCGCCACTAAGTACGGTTTGCTTTTTCTGATGGTCCATAATAATGAGTGGTATTTCATAGACTAGCTAGCTTATATGATTTATTTCATGATGTCATAGAATTCAGCGGACACATTTTTAGTATTACGTACATCTTCTCTTCATTCTGTGAAAATTTAATGAAGATTGGAAGAAAAATGGTGGAGTTATTTTTAAAAAAGTATAGAGGATAGGTCGCGTTTCGAGGAAACGGCGATAAAGAAAAATGAAATATATGAGGAAATGGTGGTGACAAACATTCCCGGTATGGGAAAAAATACGTTGTTTTTTT